TTGGAGAAACAGTATAAAATGGTAATTATAATGAAATGTACAAAGACTTAGATTTAGAAAACCAAGCAGAAAGAAAGTGCTCACCATTATCTTCAATTGAAAGAACTAAAGCAAAGACTTCATGCCTTGAGTGCAATAAGGGCAAAATATTGAACAACGCAGGAAACATCAAAAGAAGATGTAACAAACACACAGAGTGATTGCACCAAAAAGAACTAGTCAACATCCAACCATTTCAAGAAGTAGCATATGAGCAAGAACCAATAGTACTGAAGGAAGAAGTCCAAACTGCATTGAAAGCATTAGACCAAAAATGGCTTCAGAAATGGATGGAATAGCAATTGAAATGTTTCAACAAACTGATGAAAAAATGGAAGCACTTACTCGTCTAGGCCAAGAAATTTGGAAGACAACTAATTAAAGAGATCCATATTTGTACCCATTCCAAAGAAAGGTGCCCCAACAGAATGCTCAAACTATAGAATAACGTCCCTGATAGCACATGCCAGTAACATTTTGCTGAGGATCATTCAATAACAGTTACAGCAGTACATTGACAGGGAACTGTGAGAAGTTCAGACTAGATTCAGAAGATGACGTAGAACAACAGATACCATTGCTAATGTCAGATGGATCTTGGCTGAAAGCAAAGAATACTACAAAGGTGTTCAGTTGTGTTTCGTTGACTATGTTAAGTGTGTTATGAATCACACAGTGGAATGACTTGACATAGTCAATGAAACACAAATCATCAAAGAAGCTGGATTCTATGCAGAAGAGTGCAGCATCAGGATCAGAGAAAGGTTTATTAACAACCTGTGATATGCAGATGCGATACCTTGCTTACTGAAAGTGAGGAGGACTTGAAGCACTTGCTAGTGAAGATCAAGGATCACAACCTCCAGTATGAATGATAACGCAATGCAAAGAAAACCAACATCTTCACAACTGGACCAACAGGCAACATCATCAGAAATGGAGAAAAGGTTGACATCAAGGATTTCATCTTACTCAGATCCACAATCAGTGCTCAAGGAAACAGCAGTGAAGAGAAGAAAACATGCATTGCATTCGGTAAATCTGCTGTCCAAGGCCTCTTTAAAGGATTGGAAAGCAAAGATGTTACTTTGAGGACTAAGGTGCATCTCACCCAAGGCATAGTATTTTCAATCACTTCATATGCACGTGAAAATTGGACATTGAAAAAGGAAGACCAAAGAAGAATCAATGCATTTGACCTATGATATTAGCAAAGAATAGTGAAGCAAAGAATGGACGGTCAATAGAACAAACAGATCTCTCTTGGAAGAAGTACAGGAATGCCGTTAGAGGCAAGGATGACAAGACTTAGTCTCAAGTTCTTTGGACAAGTTATCAGGAGAGACCAGTCCCTAGAGAAGAACGTCATGTTTGGTAAAGTAGAGGGGCAGCAACAAAATTGGAAGGCCCTTGACAACATGGGTTGACACAGTGGCCCCAACAACGAGCTGAAACATAAGAACAATTGCTGTGAGTGGGAGCTCGATGGCACCTAACAGCAGGCTTGATAAAACAGACTAAATAACTCACAAAAGGATGCCGCCTTGCCCTGTAGAAAATAAACCAAGGCTGAGTAAGTAAAGCAGCAGAAATTAATCAGTGGAAACACTATCCAGAGATCAGTACAATTAAAAACCTTCAGGGAGCTTAATGAAGTCTCTCAACATTAAAAAGTGTCATTCAGAACTTAAACTATAAAAAATTTTAGGAGCTTCACTTGATGATTTGAGTCATAAAGAATTGTCCGAAACAGCAAGGTGCAGTCTTTTCTGTGGAATCACATCAGTATAAAACATAGCAGCAGCCATTGCCATTAAAGCTTCGAACCTCATGAGCATCCTTTGGTACTTGTTGTGGTTATTTGGAAGAACAAATAGCAATTACATGCCTGCATCGAGAATGCCTGCATCGAGTAAAAATTCTACAGCCACAATACCATCCAGGTGTTTTTAACCTCTAGAAGACATTCAACACTTTTAAACGATTCATCTTTGGTCACTTTTAAGTAAGAATCATGCCTGATTCATAGTTTTCATTTTTCTCAAGCACTTCTCCTTGCACTGATGATGATACAAAGTAAGTCTGCAGCAGACATTTGCTGATTTTCCAATGAGAAAAGAGGCAAGAATAAAAATAAAAAAGAAAGATGCAGGATCATAGCTGTTCTTTGGCCTTTTACCAGCAATTCGAGAAAAGCACAACCATGCATCATAAATGAGTTTCTAGGTGTGAACATTAGTGCCAAACTTCCAGGTTACACGTGGAAGGTGTTGAATTAGGGAGATGATTGATGTTGTTGTTGTTGTTGTTGTTGTTGTTAGGTTCTGTTGAGTCAATTCCAACCCAGAACAACCTTATGCACAACAGAAGGAAGCACTTTCTGCTCCTGTGCCATCCTCACAATTGTCATTGGCCAGCCCCTGTGTCAATCCATCTCCTTGAGAGCCTTCCTCTTTGTCTCTGCCCGTCCACTTTACCAAGTAGATGTCCTTCTCCAGGGACTGGTCTCTCCTGACAACATGTCAAAGTATGTAAGACAAATGCTTGCCATCCTTGCCTCTAAGGAGCATGCTAGCAGTACTTCTTCCAAAACAGATTTGTTTGTTCTTTTAGCAGTCCATGGGACTTCCTAAATTCTTCTCCAGCACTAATATTCTTTGCCAGCTCTGTAATTGAGATGGTTAGCAAATGTCCATCTCTATAAACTCTCATCTGTATATGTGTCTCTGGAGATGGTCGGGCCACTGTGTCCTTTAGCAGGAGATCTGGATCTCTACATAGTACATTTAATTGTTACCTAAAGGTCAGCCTAGCAAAATGGAAATTCTAGTTCTGCCAGTTCCCATTTCCTTATTGACCTTAAAGGCTCTGCTCACAAGTGCCTCTCATTACATTCCAAAGCGATCGATGACTTTGCCCGGGCCCAGTGCTCTCTGCCCTTTCTATTGGTAGGGATTCCACATAGAATTCTTAATCTGCAAAGTCACAGTTAATGAAAAATTGTCATTCTGAATCGGACAAAATGATAGCTATTCTGCTCCCTTTCCCGTAGTCTATCATTTAAAAAAAAAGTGAATTTCTAAAATCATGGCTTCACGTAGCCATTTGTTAGGTAGTTTCTTCAGGGAGCAATTACAGTGAATTTTAACAGCTGGGAGATCTAACAGTTTAGTAAATTTGCTGCTGCCCTCTGCTGTTCAAAATGTTTTTGAACAGAATTTTTTTTCTACTCAGAGGTTTTAGGTGCCTTGGTGTCGCAGGACTTAGGTGTTCAGCCACCAACCACAAGGCCAGCAGTTTGAACCACAAGTGGCTCCAAGAAAGAGAGCTGTGGCGGTCAGCTTCCACACAGAGTGCCAGGTTCGGTCCCACCAAGCTGGTTCTGATGCATAGTGACCCCAGGTACAAGAAGAGAAGGGAACACTGCCTGGCCCTGGCCACTCGTCACAATCATTATGTTTGAAGCCCATTGTCAAGGTTACAGCTTATCCACCCAGTGGAGCAGCTCTACTCTGTCCTACAGGATCACTATGAGTCAGAATTGGCTTAACAACAAATGCATTTTTTGGGGAAGAGAAGTTTCTACCTCCCCTTAGCAAAACAAAATATAGCACTGTAAAGTCAAGAATTAGTAACATCTCTAAGCATGTGTTAGAACGTATGGAATGGGAAGGTCCAGGAGTTTGTCATCCAGTTAGCGAATTACTATGCCTCTAAAACAAAACACAATGTGCTGCGAAATCTCTGTAATAGCCATGACCTTAGAAACCAAGTCCAACCGAACCATTGCATGAAAAAGCTCAATGCTGAGGCCGTTAAGAGCAAATTTATCATTGACACAAAAAGCTGTTTTATTTTATCAAAATCTCAAATAATGCTTTTGCAACCTTCAGATCTAATATGAACTGAATCCGGTTTGCAAATGAAGCAGAAAACACAAATGACTTACTGGAATATTTTCTCTCAAGTTCACTATGTTTCTAAGATGGAAACCCAAGCAATATTGATTATCATAAATAAAGGAACTGTCTCAAGACCCATGCAACATTTTCCCACACACATAACAGTAGGGTGCCATCCTGATTTCCATTTATTGTACAAATAACATTTAAATTAAAAAAACTCACTGCCATCGAGTCGAGACTGTCCCTATTCACGGGAGTAGACAGTCCCGTCTCTCCCCTGTACGGCGCCGGTGGTTTCCAATCTTGTAGCTCACAGCCCAACATGTGACAACGATGCCGCCAGGCCTAATTAGCCCTCCTGAACCACGATGGCAAAGTTGCCGGAGCTCACTTGGCGGAGAGGGAAAAAATCACAGGAACAGGAGTTTGACCCTCGTCCCTGGGTAAATTACCATCCTCATGACCATTTCCATGTTTAATTCGTGTCTTCTGATAGTGATAAAAAGATCATAACTCCTGTGTCACAGAATAAGCATCCAATTTTAACATGAAATCATCAATCCAGTCAGGTGTGTGTTATTTGGAAGCGCTAAGGATACCTCTTGGTAAAGTGAACGCAAACTGCTGGATCTTTCGATGACTAAAATTGTGTGTATGTACTCAAACTGTACTTTTCCACTTAGGAAACTTTCAGAAAGCCCGGAGAGAAGCCCCAAGGTGGGGTTCCCTCCCTCCCCTGGCCCTCATCCCCGCCGGAGCCAGCGACAGGACCCCTGAAGCACTAGGCCAACCCACTGCTCTGGCTTTAAGCCTGCAGGTGGAGGGTGGCCCTCGGGGAGCTCATAAAACTGACTTTGCAAAAAACAAAACAAACCCTGGCCTTGCTTCCTTTTCTAAAGCGCCCTATCTTCAGACCCCTGCAGGGGTCCAGACTCTTTCTAAGGGAGCCAGGTGTCCCCTGGAAGCCTTCTTCCACCTTGTCTAAGGCCGGTCCTCTGGGCTCCCCAGAGAAAGTCCACCTAATGAATCCGTTTTCCCCCACCCTCTTTATTCCAGCCCCCTCTCCCAACCACTCTGACACCTGTTCCCAGGGAGCCCTGCCGGAAGCCTATTTCCATGCCACCAAGCCAAGAAGTAACTGGGAGCCCCTCCCCTCCGCCCAGGAGGGCCATCCCTGCGGCGAGCTGGTGCGCCCCGGCTCTCTCTCCCACCCGGGTGAGCTCCGTCTTCGGGACTTGTCTGTCCCTGCCAGGAAGTTCAGGGGGCTCTTGTCCTCCAAAGATGAGAAGACAGCGGCTGGCCTCACTGACACTGCCCCTCGGCGCCATGCTGCCCCTTGCCGTTCTCCTCCACGCGGCCTGGGGTTCTTCAGGCCAGCAGACCCCAACTCTCTCGGCCCCACTTATGCCCCCGCCCTCCACATACACCCCTAATTTCTCTTCCCACCTGTCCCTTCCCCCACCCCAAGCTCTTCCCACTCCTGCACCTGAGCAATGGTCTGCGTGTGCACATCTGTGGATGGCTGGTCACCCCTGAGGGCGGGGGCCCAGGGGCGCAGCGCTCAGCAGAGCCAGGGGTGAGTGGGCTGGAGATGGGGTTCACCCCCCCTGGGGTGCAGTGAAGGCCCCTTTCTCCTCAATGTCCCAGAGCGTCGCCCTGAGGGCATGCATCCAGCCAGGAGGATGGAGACATGGTGGAACAGGGGGGTGGCCTGGAGACAGCCATGTGGGGGAGCGCATCTGAATTCTGCTCCTTCGCCAGCGCCGGCCCTCTTTCCTCCGGCCGCGGTGTGTGGGGCGAGAGCGTGTGCGTGTGTGTG